TAATAAGCGTATTTCAAATAAATTGTTGTGTTGTTTTTTAGTGTTAGCCTAAGGCGTTGTGGGTCAATGGTTCTTATTAAAATCATATCTCAATCTGATCCGATTTAAATATAATTTAAAAAAAATTACTTTTACACCAAACTCCGCCACACCTTTCATATTTCATTGAAATTGGTGCGTCAAATATGTGAAATCGGCCGAGAATATATATATGGGAGCTATATCCAAATCTTCACTAATTTCCAATTAATTTATCACATTTATTATTATAACCAAATTCCGCCACACATTCTGAATTTCATTGGAATCGGTCATATATATCGTGTTTGGTGCATAATATGTATGAAATCGGCCTCAACTGATTTCAATATAATTTGGCAATTTTTTCTGGTGCCAGATTTCGTCTCTCTCGCTTTGGGTGCATCAAATATGTGAAATCGGCTGAGTATATATATGGGAGCTATAATCACATCTGAGCGTATTTGAATATAATTTGTCAAATTTATTTTTGTACCAAATTTAGCCACTCATGCCGAATTTCGTTGGAATCGGAAATACGTATCGTGTTTTGTGCATCAAATATGTGAAATCGGCGGAAAATATATATGGGAGCTATATCCAAATCTGAACCGATTTTAATATAATTTGACTAATTTATATTCTAATCAAAATCCCGTTACATATTCCAAATTTCTTTGGAATCGAACATACATATCGTGTATGGTGCATAAAATACATGAAATCGGTCAAAATATATATGAGAGCTATATCCAAATCTGAACCGATTTTAATATAATTTGACAAATGCATATTTGTTTTAATTTCCGCTACACATTCCAAATTTCATTGAAATTAGAGATACATAGCGTGTTTGGTGCATCAAATACATGAAATCGGTCGAAAATATATATGGGAGCTATATCCAAATCTGAACCGATTTCAATTTAATTTGACAAATTCATTTTGGCTCCCAATTCCGTTACTTATTTTAAATTTCATTACAATTGGAAATACATGTCGTGTTTGGTCCACCAAATACATAAAATCGGCCGAAAATATATATGGGAGCTATATCCAAATCTGAACCGATTTCAATATAATTTGACAAATTTATTTTCGGATTAAATCCCGTCACACATTCCAAATTTCATTGGAATCGAACATTCATATTGTGTTTGAGGCATCAAATGAACGATATCTAAATCTGAACCGATTACAATATAATTTGGCAAACGTATTTTTGTTCCAAATTCCGTTACGTATTCCAAATTGGAGACTGTATCTTCAAACAATCAATAGATATGTGCATATAAAATCTAAATTTTTGGGAGGTACCTCCGATTCTGATGCAATATCTCCAGTTCCAAGTGGAAATTCAAAAATGTATATAGCCTATGTTACTTTCAGGCGATGTTGCAGTATATATGGAAATTTTCAGGAAAATCTATTCAGCGGTTTTCGAGTCCATAAATTACAAACAAACAAACAAACATACAAACATTGTCCTCTTTTATATATATATATATATATATATATATATATATATATATATATATATATATATATATATATCAGCGTAACATTCTAAGACGATTTAGCCATGTCCGTCTGTCTGTCTGTTGTAATCACGCCAAACGAATTGAGAAGTTTAAATTTTGCACATATGTTTTTTTCGCCAGTAGTAGTTCGTAAATGGGCTATGTAGGTTCACGTTTTAATATAGCTCCCATGTAACGGTACCTCCCGATATTCAGTATTGATTTTAGCGACATTATTCTCCGGAATTGTTTCAAAATTGGTATTTGAAGTTCCAAAAGTTCCACGTCTTCGTATAGCCCCCATATAACGGTACAACCCTATTTTCAGTATTTTGATGATTTTAGCGACATTATTCACCGGAATTGTTTCAAATTTGGTATTTAAAGTTCGTAATGAATACTACAGCCTGTGGCAGTAAATGGTCTATGCAGATCCACGTCTTCCCATAGCCCCCATATTACTGCACCTCCCAATATTCGGTATTTTGATGAGTTTAGCGTCATTATTCATCGTAGTAGTTTCAAATTACGTATTTAGAGTTTGTAATGGAAACTACAGTCTGTGACAGAAAATGGTCTATGCACGTGCAGATCTTCGTATAGGCCCCATATATCAGTACCTCCCTATATTCGGTATTTTGACGATTTTAGGTACAATACTCACCGAAATTGTTTGAGATGTCGTAGTTGACGTTGGTAATGGAAGCTACAGCCTGTGACAGAAAATTGTCTAAGCCGGTCCAGGTCTTCGTATAGCTCCGATATAACGGTACCTCTATATGTACGGTATTTTGATTATTTTGTCTTCAATATTCACCGTTTGTTTCAAGTCTCGAATATGAATATGGTAATGGCTTGTGACAAACAATGCATATGTAGGTGCATGTCGTACAGACTCTAATATAACGGCTATATTCTGTAATTTTAAGATGTTAACATATTTTTTGGCGAATGTTATCTTTTTCGAAATTTTCCAAATTCGTTCTAAATGGTGGAGGGTATTCAAAGTTCGACACGACCGAACTTACTGCTTTTTTATACCCTACACCATACTTTGGAGGGTATATTCATTTTGTCAAACCGTTTGTAACTCATCCAAATAATGATCTTAGACCCAACAAAGTATATATATTCTTGATCAGCGTAAAATTCTAAGACGATTTAGGCATGTCCGTCTGTCTGTCTGTCTGTTGTAATCACGCTATCTTTCGAACGAATTGAGATAGAAGGCTAAAATTTTGCACACATGTTTATTTTTCAAATAGGCAAATTATGTTCGTAAATGGGCCATGTAGGTGCAAGTTTTCATATAGCCCCCATATAACGGTACCTCCCGATGTTCGGTATTTTGATGATTTTAGCGACGTTATTCACCAGAACTGTTTCAAATTTTGTAATTAAAGTTCGTACTAGCTATGACAGAAAATTGTCAGTGCAAGTCCACGTCTTCGTATAGTCCCCATATAACGGTACTACCCTATATTAGGTATTTTGATGATTTTAGAGACATTATTTACCGGAATTGTTTCAAATTTGGTGTTTGATGTTCGTAATGGATACTACAGCCTATGGTAGTAAATCGTCTATGCAGATCCACGTCATTTGGTGTTTGACGTTCGTAATGGAAACTACAGCCTATGGTAGTAAATCGTCTATGCAGATCCACGTCTTCCGATAGTCCCCATATAACTGTACCTCCCAATATTCGGTATTTTTATGATTTTAGCGTCATTTTTACCGTAGTAGTTTCAAATTACGTATTTAGAGTTCGTAATGGAAACTACAATCTGTGACAGAAAATGGTCTATGCAGGTCCAGGTCTTCGTATAGGCCCCATATATCAGTACCTCCCTATATTCAGTATTTTTACGATTTTAGGTACAATACTCACCGAAATTGTTTGAGATGTCGTAGTTGAAGTTGGTAATGGAAGCTACAGCCTGTGACAGAAAATTGTCTATACAGGCACAGGTCTTCGTATAGCTCCGATATAACGGTACCACCCTATGTACGGTATTTTGAAGATTTTGGCTTCATTATTCACCGTTTATTTCAAGTTTCGAATTTGAATATGGTAATGGCTTGTGACAAACAATGCATATGTAGGTACATGTCGTAAAGACTCTAATGAACGGCTATATTCGGTATTTTTAGGATGTTAGCAGAATTTTTGGCGAATGTTGCCTTTTTCGAAAATTTCCAAATTCGTTCTATATGGTGGAGGGTATTCAAAGTTCGACACGACCGAACTTACTGCTTTTTTACTTGTTACTTTTTTAATTTGTTTTTCTGTCAATTTTATATAATGTTTTTGTTTAAATTTGGCTAATCATATTGCATTCAGTCGTTTTTTGTGAACAAAATAACGAATTATTTTCAGTACATAAAAGATAGTTATGTTAGTTACTACGCTTATAAATAAAGAACGACTTGAGAGATTTTGACAATTCATACAATTTCAGAATGGTATATTGGCAAAAAAAAAAAAAAAAAAAAAAAAAAAAAAAAAAAAAAAACCTGAAAATATGACAATCAAAATTTGAATGAAAAAATCTTTTTGGCGTGAAATTTTTTCAATTTGACATACTATAATGAAGTGTACATTTGTTTATGAATAATAATGGAATAATGTATAATTCATACATACGAACTAAAGGCCTGCACAAGACGAATTGTATGAATTATGCTTTTTTTCGACACACTGACTTTGTCTACTCAATCATGCGCTATGTATTTGATAAGCAATGACAACCAACAACATCCCCCATTTTGATTCATGTGTGCCATTGTCTAAGGTTCGATCGTGGCATGTCTGATTCGAATATTTGAATGGTGTTCTCCATAAATGCAGGGTGTCAACGATGACATCGAACCGTGTCGTCGTCAAATTGTGTGTCATTTGTGTACGTGTGCTTAAATTGAGAGAGTGTGTGTGTGTTACTTTCGACGGTAAGGGTGTGTTTTTGTGTGTGCTGTAATGAAAATTATACTGAACAATAATGAAATATATACTGAACAATCCCAATTTATTGGTGATTATCATAAAATTTTGGTCATAAACAAGAGGTAAATATTGTTTGCTTACCCTAGATTTAATTTATTTAGGGTCATTGTTAAAATTTATGGAGTAGATGTATAAAATGGGTTATGGACAGGAGATAGTAACTCTAATTAAAAGAATAAATTCAATTTTTAGATTATTTTACGTTTATAACAATCACCATTTATATCGATTTTATAAATTAATATACGAAAGTATATAATAACTAACATATTAAAACTAAATATTGGTTTATTATTAACTTTTGTATTATTTTATTTAAATAATTTATAATAATGTCGATAACTATTGGCTTCATGCAGATTAAATCAGCCAACGGCCACCGACGCCGCCCAATTTTTAAGGCCGTCGTCTTTAGTTAACGTCTCAGACATTCAATTAGTAAACAAACAAACAAAATTTAATTGTTTGTTAAAACTTTCGAATAGTATAGTGTTTTCTTCGGAATTAAAATTGATTTAATGCTTTTGTGTGTGGTTGTTTTAAAATTTATTACAAAAAAATTATGAAAAGTTCAAGCAAGAGACATTTAAGGAGGCTTTTTAAAAAGAAAGAATATCTAGATGTCTCTCCCAGAAATTAGTCGCAAAACTCTTGGTTTATAACCCATAGCTAAATGTAAGTAAATATTTTAGTATTTTTTTAATAAATTGCATTAATAAATTACATTACAGATCCCAATAAGGCGGAGGCATGCCAAAATTGTTAGAAGCAAATAAACAGTAAGTTGGAATAAACAAAAAACAAGTAAAAAAGCAGTAAAAGCCGGGCCGAACTTTTTATACCCTCCACCAATATGTGATTACAACAGACAGACGGACGTCGATAAATCGATTTACTATTTTACGCTGATCCAGAATATATATACTTCGTGGGGTCTAACATGAGTATTTCGGGGAGTTACAAACGGAATGACAAACTTAATATACCCTCAATAGTATGGTGGAGGGTATAATAACACTCAATAACCATACATATGTTTTTTTATTCTCTTTCAGATACAATACAAAGTCTTCAAGGTAATTTCTTTTTAAAACCATTCAAATCCTTTAAAAAAACCCTTTTGATAATTTACATGACTATTATTTTTTATTCATAGAAACCATCACAACCCAAAACGATGTGATTATGAAAACTCTTTCTGAACATAAAGTGTTAAAAGGAAGAATTTTATATCAGGAAGTGACTCAGAATAATTTGGCCTTTACATTCCCTTTAGACTCTATAAATGGCTTAAGCGATGAATTTATTAATTTTGGTTTTCAAAACCAAACATTTAATTTAAACTAGAAATCTTTGATTTTTTTAAACCTACAAATGTACGAAATATTTATATAAGTTGTTTGTAATGGTGAAGTGATCTTTAATTTTCATTAGAATAAATTTTTGTGTTATTAAAATATACATTTTTAAACCCATTTTATTTTAGTTACGAATAGTGATTATAAAGCCAACGTGTAAACAACTAACTTTTAGTTGACTGAAATTAAAGTAACGTATAGTTAGTTAAAAAAAACCAACTTAAAGCTTATTTAAATAAGTTAGTTTATAGCTAGCTCCAATGAGTTAACTTTAAGTTAATGGCTGGGTAGTTAACTTAAAGTTAACTAAAAGTACTGCAGAGCAGGACAATTGACTACTCCCTAGGACATCGCCATGTTAAAAGAGTTAGTTAATTGCATGTAACAGTAATCCAAGTGTCAACCACCACTACTTGAGAAATAGTTAGCTTTCAATTAATTTAAAGTTAACTGAGTTGACGACAGGGTATTTATACCCTACACCACAAGCTGGTCAGGGTATTATGTCTTTGTGCATTTGTTTGTAACAGGCAAAAGGAAACGAGATAGACCAATAGTTTCTTTTGATGATCTGCATAGAATCACATTCTGATTTCAGAAATCATTTGTTTGGCCCAAGGACGAACCCTATTGAAATTGGAGATAATGGGTCAAAATTTAGATATAGCGTCCATATATATCTTCGTCCGATTTTCTTTTTATTGTGCACAAAATGTGTAATTTCAGCCCGAATAGTATGAAATTTTGCACATACAACCAAATTAGGCCTGAAAAAAAGTACGCCAAATTTTACCGAGATCGGTTCAGATTTGGATATAGCTCCCATATAAAACTTCGACCGATTAATGTTTTATTGTGCACCAAACGTCTAATATTCGTCCAAATGGGATGGAATTTGGTACTTACGACCGAATTGAGTCTAGAAGCTAGTATATCAAATTTGGTGAAGATCAGTTCAGATATAGCTATAGCTCCCATGTATACTGTTCATCCGATTATAACAATATTTGTTACCCACAGCCGTAATATGCACTCCGTAACAACGATATTCAGGGAAATATATCATACATATAGTGTTCTTTTAAAATTAAAAATTAAAGTTTGTGGGCAGAGATTTGACTCTCATTCAATAACAGAATACGCACAACAGAATTGAACAATAGAAGTATATAGTGTTGTTATGTGAATTATAGTAGCACTCATTCTCACTTACACCTCACTACCGGAGGCAAACATTTATGAAATTATAATCAAAATAAGATGATTTTTCAGGGGATTATTGCTTTTTAATAAGGTTTAACATTTTAGATTGTTTTGTCAATAACCACGAAATGTGAAAATTTTGTGTGGACCAATTAGAAGTACCTTCTATATTTTAGTATTCGCCAAGAAATTCTTTATTACAAAAAATTCATTTTTTCACATATCGGAAAAGCAGGTAGCGATTGCGCTTGGCAATTGTTTCATAATTGTTGTTGTTTTTTTTTTTTTTTTTGATAGAACATTTTTGTATGACACACTATTCAACATTCCTTTTTTATTGGTCATTACATGTTATGACGATGGGTTTGAGTGTGACCGACATGACGAGACATCGAGCATTTGGTTGGATGTCACGTACGGTTATGCGATTGATCAAACAGGGCACAACATGACGAGCGTTTTCTCTCCATGGCATAGAGAAAATTGTCACATTTGCAGCCCTTTAATACGAACCGTTGTATGTGGGATATACGATAACTTGAACCTATATAGATATTTCTCTTCCAGGGAGTAAAGTGCTTGGAAAGAACTTCTAGTATGGATTTTTAGTCAATTCCGTTGAAAAATGTTGCTAAAATCATCAAAATACCGAATATAGGGAGGTACCGTTATATTGGGGAGAAACGACATCGTAGACCTATATAGACAATAATCTTCCAGGGGGTGAAGTACTTAGACGGAAATTCTTTATGAAAAATCCTTTTTAGACGATTCTATCGGAAAATGTGGCAAAAATCATCAAGATACCGAGTATCGAGGGGTACCGTTGTATGGGGGCTTACAATATCGTTGACCTATATAAAAAATTCTCTTCCAGAGGGAAAAGTACTCAGAAAAAAACGCCAATGTGGATTTTCAGGCAATTCCATTGGAAAACGTGGCTTAAATCATCAAAATAACAAATATCGAGGGGATACCGTTGTATGGGAGCTATACGGTATCATGGACCTATAAAACAATTTTCTTCCAGAGGGTAAAGTAGACAGAAGGAAATCCTTATGTGGATTTTCGGACAATTCTATCGGAAATGGGGCTAAAATCGTCAAGCTACCGAATATTGGGGAGGGGGGGGGGGGGGGTGTACCGTCGTATGTCGGCTATACAATATCGTTGACCTATATAAACAATTCTCTTCCAGAAGGAAAAGTACTCGGAAAAAAACCCAGTGTGGATTTTCAGACAATTGCATTGGAAAATGTGGCTAAAATCATCAAAATTCCGAATATGGGGGTACCGTTGTATACGATATCGTGGACCGATATAGCCCATCGTCGAACTTGACCTGCCTGCAGACAAAAGACTGATATGTGCAAAATTTTAGTTTCCTATCTTCAGATGTTGAGTTGCAAACGTAAGGACGAACTTAATATACCATCCATACTACATATATATGGTGGAGGGTATGAAAATGACCGACAAAGCGTTGTGGGGCTAATTTTGAAACGTGGACTTACTTCTTTCACATGACAATATCAGTAAAATACCGAATATTAAGGGTGCAAAATAGTAGAGCCAATTGGACATTTAGTAAGAAAAGGATTTCTTCTTAAACTTTCAAGGTACCTTAAATCGCTCTTGCAGGTCATGATATCGGTCATAACCCCGGATAAGGGTACAACCCGATTTCAAGTATATTTCACATTATAACCATAGTTTTCATACTAATTTGAGAAAAAACCATCCTTGCAAAAAATGATCACATATTGGTATAACCATCATATGATTTAAGCTTGGGGGTCTTGGATCCTTTTTTCATTTTTTTTGCCCTTATTTGGCATGTTGGTTTCTAGGGCGGAAGAAAACCTCTTCGCATATAATTTTCAATATTCGGAATAGGACCCATCTTAGTCTTGACCACATTCATCAATTAATTTGGCAAAAAAATTGTATTTATTCTACCCTGGGGTAGATAGTTCATCTTACAGCTAATTGTCCACATAGGCATTTATTTAAGAAACTTAAAAAAATATGAATATTAGAAAGTAGCACGGGACCGAACATTTGTTTTATCGTCATTGAATTATACTATGATGAAAAAGATGGACTTTATTGGGTCTACAACGTATAATTTAAAAGACCAAAAAATTAATTCCCATCTTACGATATGATAGCCGTTCTATTGGCAACTTCGTAAGGACATGTACATTTGCTGTAAAAAATCCGTGAACAAATTCAAGATATTTATACCCTCTACCATAGTATGGAGGGTATATTAAGTATGTCATTCCACGTCTAGATAGCCCTCGGTATTTTGATGATTTTTATATATATATATATTTTTGAACAGCGATAACAGCGATATATATTCTAAGACGATGTAGCCATGTCCGTCATTTATATATATATATATATATATATACACATATATACATATATATATATATATATATATATATATATATATATATATATATATATATATATATATATATATATATATATATATATATATATACATATATATATATATATATATATATATATATATATATATATATATATATATATATATACATACCCCGAGTTAGGTTTTTAAAGAAAAACATATTGACCACGACTACTTTTACGCCCACTATTTCGATTTATCTAAAATCCTTATATTTGCCAAAATAATAAAGATATCGGTTTAAGAATTATTACACGAGATGCTGTTGGCATTCCATCCAACCCAAAGTACTTATTTAGGGGCTGAGGAACGCACCTACTTTTAAATCTATCTCTCTATATGTACAAGACAGTGGTGTCAGTTACTACTCTTATAACATAAAGACCGCCGGTCTGATTTTAACGATTCGGACAAATTCGGAATTGGCAGAAAAGAATAAAATCCAAAAAACTAGCGTAAAATTGTGAATTTTGAACATTTTCATTTTGACTTTTAAAATGTACAATAGTAATATTTTATATTGCATATGTTTTTCCATTTTGATTTACTATTTTCGAATATACATTTGTAGTGTTTTTTTTTTGTTTTTGGAAATTCTAATATGATGTGTATGTTTTTTTGGGTAGTATAAAGCCACAACGTATGAAACAGTTGTTTATAGATTTTATGTATTTATTCGTATTACCCAATATTTACATAAAATCTATAAATAACAGTTTTATCCGTTGTCGCTTTATATGAAAATTCTAAAATCGGGAAAAATCGACAATTTTTCAATGGAATCGAAATTCAAAATAATAGTACATTCTACCGAAAAACTTCGTAAGGACCTTTAAAAATTTGTCGCAAAAAAAAAACAGCGAACTAATTGAAGATTCTTTTTCTTTTTTCTTTATTGAAGTGTACATTTTTTTATTGTTTAGAATTCTGAATGAATAATATTAAAAATGAAATGAGGGCGCAATACGATTTTAAATGCTTTCTACTCCAGGACCTACATCGTGCTTCAGCTGGAAAATGCGAACACATTTAAACACACAAAAATGACCGAAGAAGCGTTATGGGGTTAATTTCGAAAAGTGGATATATATATACATATGTATATATATATATATATATATATATATATATATATATATATATATATATATATATATATATATATATATATATATATATATATATATATATATATATATATATATATATATATATATATATATATATATATTATAAGTGAAACTATACGAATAATGTCATTTCAAAAAACGGTAAGCTATGAAAAAAAAATATATTTTATGGGTTTTTCAATTTGATAAACTTTATTTCATTGACTCGATTTCTTGAGAACTGATTTCAATGAAGTGTAGTACCGAATTAAGTTACTTTATAATTTCGTATTTTTTTTTCATGTTTCTGCCACAATTTACGACTGAATGAGTCCCAGATTGACATTTCGGAGTTTATTTCATATAGACGTACATCCCAAATCTACGTTTTTGAAATGACATTATTCGTATAGTTCACTTACTTTTCACTTTTTTGGGATTTAAATCCGATATTCGGCATTTTTACTATCTTAGCCACATTTTCTAACGAATTAGAATTTTTTTATTCTTCATGAGTACTACTAAAGGACATCATTTATATATTTATTTCATCGTATTTTGAAGATTTTTTTATTTTAAAGATTTTCTTTACTTCATGGTGGTGTGCCCTTTATTTAAAAGATTTTCTATACTTCATGGTGGAGTGTCCGGCCAAACTTAATGCTTTTTTACTAGCTAATTGCTAGATCTTCCCAGTGTCTTAACCGTAGTATTCAAAAAGTATTTTTTATCATTTGCTTTGCTAACTAAAATTAACAACATACACATTATAATTTTATTCACCTTTGCACAAAAAGTGAAAATAAAAAACGTACATACAATATTCCTCTTAATTTCCTGAAAAGTTTCTGTCCCGTTTCACGACCTAAACTAAAATAAACTTCGTATAAATTTGGATATACCCCGACTTATTTTGATAGAAATATTAATTTTTATATAAAGGGTTACATTTTGAAAGTTTTAGCTGCAGTGTTTCTTCCAATATTCTATTTCTAGTTCTCAGATAGAGGAAAACACGATTCAACCGCAATTGATATGAAATTCTTCTAATAGCCTTATTTTGCCTAAGATAGTGTGTATTGAAAATGGTAATTATAGGTCCACATTTAGACATAGGCCCCATACCGATTACCGATTTTAGGCATAATTTTTAACTAATTATTATTAGAAAGAGTTTCTTTTCCTGTACCATCCATATAACTTGACAATTTGATTTCTTTAGAGGTAAGTTTACCGTTTGGTATTTTTTTCGATACCAGTTCAAAACGTGATATACTTCTTGATATACTACTTGATATTTCGGGATTCCATAAGGTAAAATTTCATCTCGTAAACAGTTTCTGTTTGACCCAAGGCATCCTAAATAGTAATATGGGTCCTCAATCTATATATAAAAATTAATTGTTGTTTGTTGGTAATGGAATCAGTTGAAAACGGCTTGACCGATTTGCATAATTTTTTGTACAAACGTTCGTCATACCCCGAGTTAGGTTTTTAAAGAAAATATTGACTTGATTTATCTAAAATCTTTATATTTGCCAGATAATGACGATATCGGTTTGAAAATTATTACACGAGATACTGTTGGCTTTCCCTCCAAACTTAGGAATTTATTTGGGCGCTAGGGAACTGACCATGCATACTTCTAATCTATCTACATATATAAGGAAGTTGTGTTAGTTACTACGCATATTACTCAAGAACCGCTGATCTGATTTTAACGATTTACACAAATTCGGAATTGTCTCTTGGCAGAAAAGGATAAAATCCAAAAAATCGCGTAAAAACGTGAAATTTTAAAATTTTCATTTTGACTTTTGAAGTGTACAATAGTAATATTTTATTTTGCATGATTTTTTTTCCATTTTGACTTACTATTTCGGAATATACATTTGTAGTGTTTTTTTTTTTAATTCTAATATGATGTGTAGTGTTTTTGGGTAGTAGAAAGCGACGAAAATAATGGAGTGGCGGAACTGAATAGATGATGTCAAAATAATTTAACGTGGTCAAATCAAAATTGCTAAAAAATCAAAAAAGAGCATATTGCACTGCAAAAACTCTAAAATAGGGAAAAACTGAGAACATTTTTTCAATGGAATCAAATTTCAAAATAATAGTAAGGAACAAACTTCGTAAGGACCTTTAACTATTGGCTGTAAAAAACCAGCGAACAAGTTGAAGATTATTTTCAATTTGTTTATTAGTTACTATGCTTATAACTCAAGAACGTTTTGACGGATTTTCACAAATCATACATCTTCGGGATGGAATCTTGCAAAAAAATTGCGTAAAATATGACAATAAAAATATAAAAGAAAAAATCCTTTTGGCGTGAAATTTTTTCAATTTAAAAACTATATAGAAGTGTACATTTTTTATTGTTTTGAATTCTGAATGAATAATATCAAAAATGAAATAGTACGCAATAAGATGTTAAATGGCGATCTTTCATGTCTGAAATTGGCATTTAGCTTTCATCTCCAGGATCTACATCGTGCTTCAGCTGGAAGATGCGAATACTTTTAAATAAACAAAAATAACCGACAAAACGTTATGGGGCTCATTTCAACACGTGGACCTACCTACTTCTATCACATGACAATGATCCGTCCAATGAGAACTCAATATGCAAAATTCATTGGGACTGCAATCAGTGAAATACCGAATATAAAGGGAAAAGGATTTCTATTCTTTCAGAAATTCTTCCTAAACTTTCACGATACCTTAAATCACTTCTGCAGTTCATGATATGAGCCATAACCCCCGGATAAGGATACAACCCGATTTCAAGTATATCTTACATTTTAACCATATTTTCATACTAATTTCGGCAAATGTTGGTAATTTGGGAAGAAACCATCCATGCAAAAACGTTTGTATAACCATCATATGATTTAAGGAACCGGACATTTGTTTAATCGTCTTTAATTATACTATGATAAAAGATATGGAAATTATGGGGTCTCCAACGCGCAATTTCAATGACAAATAATTCATATTACTTTAAAAACAAGTAAAATAAATTAAGTTCGGCCGGGCAGAATTATTACTATCATCCATCTGAGGGTAAAGGAAACATTTTTATATAAAAGTATCTAAATTCAAGCGTGTTTCACTTTAAACTTCATATACCAGTAAGACTGTTTGAATGAGGCCGTTATATGGGGCCAAACCAAAACGGGAACCTCTGTGGACAATTTTATACTTCAAGGATTGTCATCTATCAAACCTTCTAAAATACCAAATTTGAAACAATTATACGCGTAAATGTGTGGATTATCAACATACCCAATATGGGTAGGTATCGTTATATGTGTTAGACAAATCCGAGAAGAAATGTGGCAAAAATCATCAAAATACCGAATTTCGAGAGATACCGTTATATGGGGACTATACCAAAACGTGAACCGATAGATCATTTTCAATACCAACCATCCTATACACAATAAAAATTCTTCGGCTAAATTTTGACGCTATACGTCAAATAATGTGGGCTGTATCGTAATTTAAACAAACAGACATACAGACGGACAAATCGACTTAGAGTTTTATGCTGATTATGAATATATATGCATATTTAATGGGGTCTATGACGAACATTTAGTGATGTTACAAATGGAATGAAAAGTTAATATACCCTCCTTTCCAAGGTGGATGATATAATAGCATTAAAGACTAAAATTACGGGCCGGCAAAGCGGACCGGGCCAGCTAGTATTATATATTTTTAAGCTCTTGGTCACATTTTCGAAGTGGATGTAGCTTAATATTTTCAGATCTTGGTAAATAGAAAATACTGCCGCAAACATTAATAACTAATCCCCATGTAACCACCTGATCCACTATATTGACTACAATTTAGTAATTCCAGAGGATTTGTGACTTGTATATAAGTGTTACCAAGTTTAGAAGAGCCGACTTTTAATCGGAATCCCAGAACTTATTGCAGCCGCAATTAAATCTTCAAAGAAAAGTACGTAACTTGAATTCGGCTATAAGTATTGAACGTCATTATTCTATCATGTAGCAGCGTACGAATAGCCATGCGGCAATAGAAAGTAGAGCTCCCTGTTTTGATTTCTGCTATATGCGGTAAATAATAACAACTTCACAGGAAAATTGGAATTGGGCCATGTCTTTCAAGTGAACATGCTATATTAGTACCAGATCATAATTCATGATCTTCCAAAGAAATCGTCCTTCCAATCCGCCACAAGTTCCAACTCTAAATTCGAAAAGAAAGTTTCTATCCATCTTCTTCGCCTGTTGTCTTTTTAAATGTTTGTTAAATTTGATTAGATAGAATAGATTTGCCGTTAGTGGATAGTAAATTTTTCCTAGGAAAAAGTTTCCATCAGACTCGGATAGGTATTGCTTAGACCTACAATTACAAGGATTTGATTTTTTTTCCAACATTTCTCCATTCAATTCTTGGTCTGATAGTGTTTATGTTATGAATCAATACTGTTTCAAAATTTCGTGTTGATATCTGGAAAACTACACAAATAATTATGGTTGATCTAGCATATATTTTCAGCATATATGCCCCCATGACTATACCCAACATTGAAGCCACAATGATTAAAATATTTTACAGAAATATTAACTTCTTACTTGTTGTTTTCAAATATTTGTTTTCCTCACGATGGAGAGTATTAAAAGTCTATCTTTATCATTTCAGATGATCATGCAAAAGGTCTTTCCACATTTACAATAATGGCTGGGCTTGGTGGCTTTATGGGTTATTCAATGGGAGGTATTAACTGGGACGCAACAGCGATTGGCCGCCGATTGGGAGGACATGTAAAAGCTGTGTTCACCATTATTACCTTTATTTTTATAACATGTGTCTCCCTAACGATAACAAGTTTCAAGGAGATTCCGCTTTGGGCCTTAATTCCTGCCAAAACCTCAGTGTCGTTAAAGGATGAAAAGGATCATCTTGGTGATGGTTCCGTCAGTTATGGGGCCTTGGATGAAACCCAATTTGTTGGAAATGAGCAACCTACCCCAACGGTAAGTTTTATATACAAACTAGCTAAATCCAGTGCGCTTCGCAACCATAATTTCATTTGTTTATTTTACCCTTTTGATAGTGTGTCTGTCGATTGAAATATATATACAGACCACATTATTTCACACAGAACTATGAAATTTGTCATAATACTTAGCTTTGTTTCCAGAATAATTGAAATTGATAAGGTATTTTGACTATTTTAACCATGATATGTGGAATTGTTTAAAATTCGGTAATTATCTTTTGTAATAGATTATATCTCAGGTTGCAGAGTATTTTTCAAATAGGTCCTGGTATAACGGTACCGCCCAGTTTATGGTAATTTGTGACGTTAACTGTATAATGTGCCCGCTTTCATAGAGTTTAAAATGGAACTCGCTCGAATATTGAATTCAGATACTTTGCCTCCAATATGACGCAAAACATCAGTTTTCCAGCAGTCATAAAATGTCATATGTGTAAAATTCAACCAAAAGGTTGTGTTCTTTCTCGCCTTTTTATATTTAGTCAATCGAGCCTTCACTTTTTATAAAGTGAAAAGAACAAGCAAGCACAAAGGAGAAAATTGTAGGAGTTTCCCCCACCAATGGTAACAAACTCACTACAAGCAGAATAGCTATTAGGAGAATTTCTACCAAAAATGTCCGTCGATTCATTAAAAACGTAAGACCCTAGGGACGTTTTAAAAATATACGACGTACTGATTTAAATAAAAAAGTTATATCGGGCAAAAGAAAACAAAAAACCATAGGGGAAAAAACAAAAAAAAAAACATGGGCGTAGAAATGAAACAAGACAAGGACAAGAAAGGTCCCAACTACAATAAAAAAAATAATTACTTTGAAAACAGGACATCAAATTGTCTAAGATAAAATTCAAGAGGAATTCCGAAAAAATGGATCAAGAAGCAAGTTTCTTAGTCTAGGCAGACTATTTCTGCACAACATTGGCGATACAATTTAAAAAAGTGGTAACGTGAACATTAACGTTTTACAACAAACCTTGAAAAGTTTTAAAAAGGACATTCCTCAGAGAATCCAGGAAAGTTCGGTAGCAGTGGATAAATGCCTTATGTTAGCGTATAAATTAATGGCGACGAGAACATTAAGATGCAAGTTGAATGGAGATACTGCACAAGCGGAAATAGAGGAATGCTTAAAAACACCAGAACCCTGGAGCTTTGAACGTGAGTACTTTTCCCTTAGTCCGGTGAGGAAGCTGAGTAGTGTGCACAGAATGTATTTCCCACCTTTGGGTTGAGAACAAAGCAGAGGCCCTCGCAGACCATGGTGTGCTGAAAGGTGTGAAAATGATCGAGATATTCTCGAAAAAGCCAGCAGATATAGGTTATTTTATTCCCACGACTGCAAATGTGACTGGTGTGTTGTTGTTGCTTATAACTTTGAAGACATGAATTTGTTCCCGCCGGAAAGTCATAACTCGGAGCAAAAACTTAGAGCCTTTACAGAATCTAATGAAGCCAAGAAAGAGGAATGGCGTCATATTGAATCACAACTGGACGAAACAGCTACTCCAATTGAAATATGGCCTGAAAACAGTTAATAATACAAAACTGGGGCTTGAAGATTTAGTACAGTCCTTGCTCGATAAATTTGAATGAGAAATACTATGGCAGTAGAATCTGAGAAGCAACGGCGTGACTTGGAAAAACCAGTCCAAGTTCTGGGAGCTAAGTTGGAGCCGCAAAATAGAAAATTGGAATTCAAGGCGGCAAAAGTCGAAGCATCAGAGGACAAAGAAAGAAATTTAATCGATGCATCGCTGCAAGAATGCAAAGACATTTTTGGAGTGGATCCTGATTATTATAATTCGTCTAAGTATGGAGCAAAGAAATATGATAATTCAGGAGGAGCAGAAAACTTCAAGGAAGATGAGCGAGGCAAAGTGAAGAAAATTATTATTACACAGTAGCTGAAATAAAGTCTGGTTCCACGGCATGGTAATATTAATAAATCAATCAAACTTTGTGTTAGAAATATCAGCCATAAGATGACCAATGATGCCTTCAGAAAATTTCACTATTCACATGATAGCGGCGAGTAACCACTATTCTGAGACCCTCTAAAATCTAATAAATATAATTGTGTGGCTGCGATTAGTTACAATTAAATTAGTTTTTGTAGCATTTAAGAAACATATATTTAAATAACAAGTAAAAAACTGTAAGTTCGGCCGGGCCGATCTTTGAATACCCTCCACCATTTAGAACGATTTTGGCAATTTTCAAACAAATAAAAACCGTCTGTTAAAATCTTAGTAGCCGTTATATTAGAGTCTATACGACGACGTGGACCTGCATAGGTAACTTTATAAACCATTACGATACTCAAATGCGAAACTTGAATACAAAAATTCGGTGAATAATATAGATAAAATTAAATTAAACCTTCACAGACAATTTTATGTCATAGGCTGTAGTACCCATTACGAACTTCAAGTACCAAATTTGAAACATTTCCGGCGAATAATGTCGCTGAAATCACCAAAATTCCATAAATCACCATTATATGGAGGCTATACCAAAACGTGGACCTACATGACTCATTTTCAATACCAAAAGTCCTGCAGACATAAAATACATTTGAGTAAAATTTTATTAATATACTTTATTTCGTTCGAAAGCTACAGCGATTTCCAGAGATGGACGGACATCGCTAAATCGACATAGAAATTTATGCTGATCAAGAGGGGTTTAAAACGTATATTTCGAGGTGTTACAAACGGAATGACAAACTTAATATATCTCCCATACTAAGTGTTGTGAGAATATAATCCAATCTCCCTCTTCAATTGTCAACTCTCGAAGCAGTTGTATTCTTTTCTCGCTTTCTTAAATTTAGTCCTTCGAGCCGGATTGAGAATTAAATCTACAGCCAAACCGTTCGGATGTCTTTCTCTTCTCATATACAATCGACAAAAATACGTCTTTCACAAAGTGTCAATGCAATACTAAGTTCACATGACCCTTAATTAGAAAATATATACTTAATTAGAAAATATATACCTTATTCCTCACACAAAACATTCTGAGCACACAAAAATGTTGGTTCTTTGACCTATTCAAATCACTCTCAGAACTACGATGAAATATGCGCCATCCCTAACAAATGAGAGCAATTATCAAAAAAATAAATAAATAAAATTATATGTACAATTGCAAAATATGATTGATAAAAACACAAGACTAGACTGACTAGATGCTAGTATTTAGACAAATGTGGCAAAAATCTTCAAGATGCTGAATAGAAGGTACCATTATGTGCGGGCCATAAGAAAACTATACATACCATGTTCCGCCACAGAAACTAGAACCCATTACGAACTACAAATACTAAATTATAGACAAATCCGTAGAACATGTGGCAAAACTCATCAAAACACGGACTATCGGGAGGTACCGTTATATGGGGACTATACAAAAACGTGGACCTGTACATACAATGTTTCGCCACCGGAGCTAGAACTCATTTCGAACTACAAATACCAAATTTTTAAAAAATCCGTGAAAAAATGTTGCATAAATAGTCAAAATACCGAACATCGGGAGGTACCGTTATATGGCGGTTATACCAAAACGTGGAACTATACTTTCAATGTTTCGCCATCGGATTTATAACCCATTATGACCAAAAATACCAATTTTTAGACAAATCCGTGGAAATATGTGGCAAAAATTAAATAAATATCGTATATCGGGAGGTACCATTATATGGGGGCTATACGAAGACGTGAATCTGCACACACAATTTTCAGTCTTAGGCTTTAGTATCCATTACGAACATCCAGTACCAAATTTGAAACAATTCGGGTGAATAATATCGCTAAAACCATAAAAATACCGAATATCGGGAGATGCCGTTAAATAAGGGGGCTTTACGAAGTCGTGGACCTACACGGGCAATTTTCTATCGTAGTCTGTAGTATCCATTTCGAACTTCAAATACCAAATTTGAAACCATTCCGGTGAATGATGTCGCTTAAATCACCAAAATACCGAATCTCGGGAGGTACAATTATATGGGCCTATACCAAAACGTGCACCTACATGGCCCATTTTCTAAACCGAAGGTTCCGCAAGCATAATATACACTTCAGTAAAATTGTATCAACCTGCTTCATTCCTTTTGGAAGCTAGAGTGATTTCCACAGACGGACGGACATCGCTAAATCGACATAACATTTTATGCTGATCAAGAACATGTATACTGTGTGCGGTCAAAAATGTATGTTTCGAGGTGTTACAAACGGAATATACCCTCTATACTATGGTGGAGTATATAAAAATTCGGTGAATAATGTAGCTAAAATCATCAAAATACCGGCTACACGAAGACGTGGACCTGCACAGACAATCTCCTGTCATAGGCTGTAGTATTCATTACGAACTTCAACTACCAACTTTGAAACTATTCCGATGAATAATGTTGCTAAAATCATCAAAATACCGAATATCGGGAGGTACCGTTTTATGGGGGATATACGAAGACGTGAACCTGCACAGATAATCTTCAGTCATAGGCTTTAGTATCCATTACGAACTTCAAATACCAAATTTGAAACAATTCCGGTGAGTATTGTACCTAAAATCGTCAAAATACCGAATATAGGGAGGTACCGTTATATGGAGGCTATACCAAAACGTGGAGCTACATGGTCCATAACAATATAATGCTTTAACGAGATGAAAATTAAGTTCAATGGAATCACCCCCGAAAACAGAACATATATCCCATAACCAATCCCTTCAAAAACACAAAACGCAATAACAACAATAATAAACAACCACATCCACCACAGGAAATATCAGAGGAACTCAATTATAGCCACCCAAGTGCACTAATATATTGTAGTGCCAACACCATAGCCGCTTTAACTAACAAAATACTACTAAAAAAAATTCAACATATTAAAACTCTATAATACACGAATCAGGGGAACATAAACTAGCGATACAACGTTGAAAAACAAACCTCTCTGA